CATGGCAGTGGGAGGCACCACCAGTCAACGGGATCATTTACGACGTGTGCAATTCACGCAAACTGTTGATTTAAGCCACACGACGTGGAAAAGCGCTCTCTAAATGTTCCCGTACGCAAACGGATTCTCTACGACGTCTAAGCACGCGCTGACCTCTTAAGAGCGCCTTGCGAACAAACACCGGCTGTCCTCAATGCAATGAACAGAAGACGAAATCACATTTACGGTTCGAATAACCGACAAAGGTACCTCTTGAGCCCCCAGGAACACGCGGAGGTCAGTTCATCCCCAGGTAAGGCACCGTTCACATCAGCCATCTTTTCACGGTGCTTCTGGAAGCCGCAGCTCCAAGCGTCGCCTTCGTACGTTGGCTCACACTTCTCAACAACGAACGAACGCCGGAAATAAGTTGGATTTCGATTACGTTTCGGAAGAAACAAGACAGTCAGTAGCGGAGTCGATTAATCAACGACAGGGTCCCTGCACGCGCCACTGCCCCCAACAAAGTGTCCAGAGGCAAGAACTCTTGAGGAAGATGGCGGCTGCACAACTGCCCCGACAAAATGCACGCGCGACTGGCAGTTGTCCTACAGCCCTGAGCCTCAACCGGGCTAAGGCGACAGGGGTTCGATTCTCTCTTACATGCGACCTCCGTCCGCCCTCCCCCGGCCTCACACTCAATGAGTATCGTAGGTTAAAGTGGCGGAGGCGAATGTGTGGAACTATGCCGCCACTCCCACATACGCCTTCGTTCCGCGGTGCTTAACCGAGCACGAAGGACGACTTTATTTTCTCCTCACTGCTCGGAAATACCATCGCAGACCTGAATCAGAGAGACGAAGCTGCAAACTCCAAATTGGAGTCGACTTCATTTGACAGGTGGCAGCGCGATTCTGACCAATCTTCGCGCCGCACCTCGTTTAGTCCCAAGGGTCCACGGTCCACGGGAGAGGGCGGAGGAGGACCCCGTCGTAATCCTGAATTACACCGCAAAGCCTGCAATGTCTAACCGAGGGCCACGTGTCAACAGGCAACAGATTCTGCCACAGACGAGGACCTACCTGTTCTTCAAGAGTTAAAGGACGCACTTCGACTGCACAAGGAGGTTACTTTCATTTGCCTTGTAAAACGAAGTACTGAAAGTTTGCAAAAGAAAAGAAAAGAAGACCAGACAAGTGCAGGATGTTCATTTATTTTG